GGGGGGGGGGGGCACAAGGTGGGGTTGGTAGCAGAGAACCAAGAATGGGTTTTGAGGTAAGGTGTAACCACCCTAACAAGACTGAAGAGCAGAGAAAAATGTGGAGAGAGAAGTCTCTCTCTTGTTCTTGGTCTCAGGGTCCATCTAGCTCCACCTTTCTCTTTGTGTCTCTTTTGCTGTCACTCTCCTCTCTGTCTTCTCGCCTTCCTGTTTCTCTCTAGCCCTGTCTGTGTCCTGTCTCTCGTTATCTCTGCTCTGTGTGTGTGTCCATCTTTCACTCTCATATGTCCCCACCTGTGCCTTTGTTTGCCTCCACCAAGGACCCCCCTTCTCTCTCTTCCCCCCCTCAGGGCGACTCCGGGGGCCCCCTGATCTGTAATGGAACACTCCATGGCATCATCTCCTGGGGAGACTTCCCATGCGGGCAGCCCAACCGGCCTGGTGTCTATACTCGAGTCTCTCAATATGTTGTGTGGATCCGAGAAACGATTCAAAAACACAGAACCCAAGAGTGGAAACGGACGAAGGGGAAGGGCCCACTGTAAAAGCCGGGTTGGCTCACCTGCCTCCTTCCTCCCTCCCTCCCTCCCTCCCTCTGCACCCTCCTCACTCCATTGGCCCAGCCCTTCTCTGCCCCTCCCAAAGTTCCACTTGAACCAGTGATCCGTATTCTCAGAACCTCTGATCCCGGCCGACATTTCGTGTTTCAGAAGCATTCAGTCACTTCCGATATCATGGTCTCCCACATACTGCATCCTGAAATACCTCAGTACCCTCAGCATCCCAACCCAATGTTCCAGGACTCCCACTGTTTCAACAGAATCCCAGATAGCCATCTGAATGTTCTGTCTGTGGAATACCCTTAAATACATTCATTGACTCATCTCAACAATACTCTATGTCCCATGAATGGAACTTCCTTGATATCGTGCCAAACCCTTTCACGTATTTCCTGACTACCAACATTCTAGACACTTCTGTGTTTGGTGCCCAAGAAGGTTCTAGACTCCTGCGACATTTCATCTTGAAAATATTCTCTCGGGGCACCTGGGTGGCTCAGTCAGTTAAGTGCCCCACTTTGGCTCAGGTCACGATCTCACGGTCCGTGGGTTCGAACCCGGCGTGGGGCTCTGTGCTGACAGCCTGGAGCCTGGAAGCTGCTTCGGATTCTGTGTCTGCCTCTCTCTGCCCCTCCCCTGCTTGCACTCTGTCTCTCTCTCTCCCTCAAAAATAAACATTTTTTAAAAAATTTTAAAAAAAGAAAATATTCTCTTGGACTCAGAATCTTCTGCCCCAACAATTTTCTAGGCACATCTGAATGATTAATCATAGCACAGCTAATATTGGATCCTCATAATGGTTCGTTCTCACCTAGTTTTGGGTCTCCCAAATGTCCCATCCCTACCTACACCCCATATTTTGCCAGTATCCCCTGTCTCTGAATCCCCTTGCTCACGAAAGATCAACAGCACACTAGACTAGAGTTTTGGGGTTCAGGGCCCTGAGGGGCTTCCACACCTGGACCCTGTTGTCTGCCAGGTGTTGTCCTTTCATCTCCCCCACAAGCATCTTCACCCTCAGTGACCCCAATACGCAGTGGTTAAATGCCCAAGTCACCGAGTCCCTGATTTGAGCAAGTCTTGAAACTCACTGCCTCTCTGTTCTTTTGTCTGTAAATGGGGCTTCTCATTTTTCCTCCTAACATTGTTATTATAAACTTCAAGCATTTCCACTATGATTCTTTGCCTGGTTCCCTATCAAATATCACCTTAGGGTGTCAACAACCCCCAGATTTGCAGGGTCCAAAAACTGTTGCATTTGGGGCTCCTGGCTGGCTCCAGTTAGCAGAGCATGTGACTCTAAATCTCAGGGTCCCGAGTTCAAGCCCCATATTGGGTGTCGAGCTTACTTAAAACAACAGCAACAACAGAAAGTGTTGCATTCGGGGACTTTTTTCAGCATTTATCCAGTGCTGACCATGTGCAGGCATTCTCTTGGGTGTTGGTAAATACGGCTTTATTTATTTAACACATACTGGTACTTCTCAGAAGCCAGGCACTGTTGCAGACATGGCTGATAAAGCAGTGAATTGGGTAAAACTTCTGCCCTGTAGAGCTTGCATTCTTTGCAGAGAGACTAAATAAATGAGATAGACGGACAAGTGGCAATGTAAACCACGGCAAAAATGAAGCAGAGATGGGGCGCCTGGGTGGCTCAGTCGGTTGAGCGTCCGACTTCGGCTCAGGTCACCATCTCACGGTATGTGAGTTTGAGCCCCATGTCGGGCTCTGTGCTGACTGCTCAGAGCCTGGAGCCTGTTTCAGATTCTGTGTCTCCCTCTCTCTCTGACCCTCCCCCGTGCATGCTCTGTCTCTCTCTGTCTCAAAAATAAATAAACGTTAAAAAAAAAATTTAAAAAAAAAATGAGGCAGAGATGAAGGATAGGGAATGTTGGCGTTGGGAGAGTGAGTGGAGTTGCTATTTTATTATTTTTTAATGTAAGCTCTGTGCCCAACATGGGGCTTGAACTTCCAAACCTGAGATCAAGAGTTACAGGCTCTGATGACTGAACCAGCCAGGCACCCCAGAGTCGCTGTTTTAAATCGTCCGGGGGCACCTGCATAGCTGGTTAAGAATCTGACTCTTGATCTCGGCTCAGCTTATGGTCTCGTGCTTTGTGAGTTTGAGCCCCATGTAGGGCTCTTCCCTGGCAGTGTAGAGCCTGCTTGGGATTCTCTCTCCCCTCTCATTCTCCCCCTTCCCCGCATGCACACAGACTCTCTCCAGCTCTCAAAATAAAGAAAGAAACTTTAAAAAAATAAGATGGTCTGGGGAATGATGGTGACATTAAAAAAAAAAAAAAAAGCAAGCAGGGGCGCTGGGTGGCTCAGTCGGTTGAGTGTCCAACTTCGGCTCAGGTCACGATCTCACAGTCTGTGAGTTCGAGCCCCGCGTCGGACTCTGCTGACAGCTCAGAGCCTAGAGCCTGCTTCAGATTCTGTGTCTCCCTCTCTCTCTGCCCTTCCCCCACTCATGCTCTCTCTCTCTGTCAAAAATAAACATTAAAACAATATTTAAAAAAACAATGAAAGGATGGAAAGAGAGAACCAGGTGCATACCTGGGCAGCAGCGCCCCATGCGAAGACAGCAAGTGCAAAGGCCCTGAGGCAGGAGCTGGCCAGATGCATCTGAAGATTGGGAAGATGGTGAAGAGGTTGGTGTGGAAGTGACTGCCCTTCAATAGCTTAGGCAGGAGGTGATGTTCTCAGGGGAGTTATGGGGTCAGATTCTGGATCTGCTTGAAGAGATTGTTGGACAGTGCCTGTTGACATCAGATGAAGGGTGTGAGAGAAAAGACAGAGAAGGACAACCTCAACGCTTTGGCTTGAGCAACCATTTACTAAATGGAACTGCCATTTACTAAAATTGGGGAAACTCTGGGAGGGATAGATTTGCAGGGAAATACTGGGAATTTTTGTTTTGAACTGTTTATTAGGCACCAAAGTGGCAATAAACTCCGCCCTCAGGGGGATTTACTGAAAATTAACCAATACACTAAACTAAGTAACTGCAAATTGTGATGACTTCTATGTGATAATAAATGTAATCCGTGAAGGATCTAAACGGAGTTTTGTGTTAGAGAATTAGAGGGGATGCTGTTTTCCACAGGTAGTCAGGAAGCACTTCCTGGAGGAGGCGGCATTGACTAAAGACCCCAAAGGTTAGAGGAAGCCGCTTTTGCAAAGAACACTGCTAATATCTCTGAAAGAGAGAGTCATCATATTTCAGAGTCCACCGTCCCTGGTTCCTACACGGGAGCCTACGGGTTAGAGTTTAAAAGCACACAGGGTGGGGGCACCTGGCTGGCTCAGTCAGTGGATCATGTGACTCTTGATCTTGGGGTCGTGGGTTCAAGCCCCGTATTGGGTGTAGACACTGCTTAAAAATAAACATAAATAAAAGCAAGGAGGGTAGAGTCTGAAGGACCTGGTTTTGGATGGAAGAATCTTTATCTTTTGGGAGGCTCTGTTTCCTCATCTGGTACTAACAGGACCTACTGCTCAGCGTTGTTAGAAGGAAGACCGGCATTTAAAGTCTGCACCCGGAAACTTCTCAATCGGTGGAGACGCAACATGATGCGATAGCTAAGAAGGTAGTTTCTGAGGCCAGGCTGCCCGGGTGTGACTTCCAGCTCTGCCACTTATTTAAAAGAATTTTTTTTAATGTTTATTTATTTTTGAGAGAGACAGAGACAGAGTGCGAGCAGAGAGAGAGGGAGACACAGAATCTGAAACAGGCTCCAGACTCTGAGCTGTCAGCACAGAGCCCCACGCGGGGCTCGAACTCACGGACCGCGAGATCATGACCTGAGCCGAAGTCAGCTGCTTAACCGACTGAGCCACCCAGGCGCCCCGGATTAGGAATCTTTAAAGTGAAGTAACCCATCTAGTGGCAGGGATGCAGACCCAATGGAACCCAGGTGCACAGCTGGGACCCTAGGACCCAACAGTTCCACGCCTGACGTCCATCCTAGGGCAATGATCATGCAGGTCACAAAGAGGGAAGTATGGAAGGGTCTGTCAATCACTTATTTGTTGTGCTGCAAAATTAGAGGAAAACTGGGCACCCACTAATGAGGGTGGGGGTGGGTGTTAGGATGCGGTGGAGAGCACCATGGAGGACCACACAGCACTTACAAGCAACAGGCTAGAGGCACACATGAACGGAATCTCAAAGGTGCGGTGCTATCAACGTCAATGGTTAAAAAGACTGACACTATTAAGCATTGGCAAAGATGTGGGGCTCTGGAACACTTATACGCTGCTGATGGCAATGCAGAGCGGTACAACCACTTTAGAAAACATTTGGCAATTTCCTTCAGAATCCAACACACATCGTACGATCTTACAGTGCCACTCCTAGGTGTCTGCCTAAGAGAAAGGAAAACATGCCCACACAAATGATGTGGACGTGAATGTGTGCAGCAACATTATTTGGGATAGCCAGAAGCTGGAAGCAAACCCAGATATGTAACGACTTGCAAATGGATGAAAGCTGTAACACGTCCACACTGTGGGATACTGCACAGCAATAAGAGGCAATGAACTATTGAGAGAAAAATGCAAAAGCGTGGGTGATTCTGAAATGCTATTATGCTAGTGAGAGAAGCTAAACATTTACATGATATTCTAAAAAGGCAAAACTCTAGGCAGAATGGAGATCAGTGGTAGCCTGGGGCACAGGGAAGGAGGGAGAGCTTTGGCAGAAAGAGTGCAGGGCAGTTTAAGAATGGGTGGCTGGAAGGTGGGAGGTACTTGTTTTAGGTTTTGATTTATGGTGGAGGTTACAGGATTGTATCCAGTTTCCAAACTTCATCAAATCGAACACCTAAAATGAATGGATTTTAATTTATGTAAGTGATACCTTCTTTAAGAATGAAAGAAGCATAGTTAGGGCACCTGGGTGGCTCCCTCAGTTAAGCGCCGATTTCGGCTCAGGTCATGATCTCGCGGTTCATGAGTTCGAGCCCCGCATCTGGCTCTGTGCTGACAGCTCAGAGCCTGGAGCCTGCTTTGGATTCTGTGTCTCCCTCTTTCCCTGCCCCTCCCCCACTTGTGCTCTGTCTCTCTCTCTCTTTCTGTCAAAAATAAACATTGAGAAAAATGAAAGAAGCATAGTTTTTTTTTTTTTAATTTTTTAAAATTCATTTTTGAGAGAGACAGAGACAGCGCGAGCAGGGCAGGGGCAGAGAGAGGGAGAGAAAGGCAATCCCAAACAGGCTCTGCACCGTCAGCGCAGAGCCTGATGAGGGGCTTGAACTCACAAAACCATGAGATCATGACCTGAGCTGAAACCAAGAGTCAGACACTTAACCGACTGAGCCACCCAGGCATCCGGAAAGAAGCACAGTTCTGAGCTTAAAAAGGAAAAACTATGTACCACAATCCTGCTGCCATAAATTAAAACTAAAGAAAACGCTCCGCAATGTTTTGCACATAAAGTGATACACAATTTGTAAGAAAGTATACCAACAAAAAATATACACGACATTGTGAATGTACTGAATGCCACTGAACTGGACACCTTAAATGGTGAATGGTTATTTATGTGAATTCAACCTTTACCTTTTTAATTAAAAAAAAACTTTTAAATTTTATTTTGTCACCATAGTCTTTAAAAGCTATGCGAGGGTGCCTGGGTGGCTCAGCCAGCTGAGCATCCGACTTTGGCTCAGGTCATGATCTCATGGTTCGTGGGTTCGAGCCCTGTATCAGGCTCTGCGATGACAGCTTGGAGTCTGGAGTCTGCTTGGGATTCTGTGTGTGTGTGTGTGTGTGTCTCTGCCCCTCCCCCACTTGTGACTTCTCTCTCTCTCTGGCTCTCTCTCTCTCTCAAAAATAAATAAAGACGTTTAAAAAAAGCTATGCGATAATAAATGCAATAGCAGAAGGCACACATTAATAAAGGTAGCAAAGGATACACAAGAGCAAAAGATAGTAGCAGTAGATACACAACAAATAAAAACAATAGCGAAGGATATACTGTAACAAAGATAATAGCAGATACACAAGGGTAAGGACAAGAGCAGAAGGGGAGGGAGACAGGGAATAAGCCAGTAAGGAAAACAAAAGA